TTAATTTCAGACTACATGGACAAGACCTGAGATGCCTCTGCTGTTATCTCTTCCTCAAAGCTGTACATTAAACAAAACATGCATGTGATCTGTTTAACCTGTAATTAAACACTTTCCTTAAGCAGCTGACATCTTGATAACTAATAATTATCATATGTAGCACCTTTTAAAACCTATTATGCATGTTTATGTAAGAGCACTATTACCATAATAATAAGATATCATTACCACAAATGTGCGTACTGAATGAGCATGTCTTAAAGTAATCATGCAATTCCATTAATCATACTTGAAAAATTAAAGTATTTGCTGTTTAATTTCTACAATATTATTCAAAAGACTTTTTGGAAACAGCAGGACCTGTTTACTGTGAGTCTCTAATCAATACATCATCTGTCATTTCTGGCGTTTGATTTTTTGTTTACTGAGTTGTTGCTTATCTTTCATGTATAGAAATAATTAGCTCAGAGACCCGCTGCCATGCTTTGGAAGGTTTTCCATGCTCTGATTTTTATGCTATTTGCCCCCCACCCCACTGAGTGCTGCCACTTTGTCTCAAGGCTGATGCGGAATGGATTCCTGAGAACTCAGTACTTGAAATTAGATAATTGCCTTAAGCAGATGGACTGACTTTATGAATTTCTGATGGAATTCTGTTAGTCCCATCTACAGAAAAAGATAGTGCTGTTGTTTTCTAGTGCTCCTTTTTTTTTGTAATAGAAGATTGGAAAGCTGGAGAGTGGAGTTTCTGCTTTTATGTATATATTTGTCTAGAAGATGGCAGTTGGGGTTTGTTTTGTTTCTTGCTTTTGAAATGTCAAACTCTTTACACTGTTTTTCCAGGAGGAGACTTGATGACAAAAGTGAAAGTTGGGAGTAAAACGTTTCATATACTAAGAAAATGAAATCTGAGTAACTGAAAAAAAAAATTTTTTTTTTTATACTGTTTTAAATCCAGTCTCAAACAAACACCTGATGTGGCTAAGGACAAAAAAAAATGTAAGGTAATTATCAGTTTTTTTTAATGACTTCTCAGAAAACTCTTTTCTGAGCCTTTGGAATTTTAGAGATCAACTAGGTGGAGACAAAATGTCCTTGAAGCTGTTTTGATATATTATAAGCAGTGAGTAGAGGTGGAAATGCTAAGTCATGTCTTGAAGTGCAGGTGGGCTCTGATAAACCGCATGTACGCATCTCTGGGTGCGCGTTGTAGGACTGCAGCTACATGCATAGTGATGTTTAAATTCCTAAATTTCTATAGGTAGTTTAAGATGCTCTTTGGTTCTTTTCTGTTCCTCCTTCTTCCATTTGTTCTCCCTTCTGGTCGTCTTACCGCGAGTTAGGCCCACGTACTGCGTTTGTAGCTGCTTTGGGTCATGGGACTATACGTGTGAAAGAGCTGGGGGAGGCAGTCGTAGGGGTTAAGAGGATACATGGAATTGTTCGCCTTTTGCAGGAATTTACTCATCCAATTACAAAATCCAGTTGTGCTGTTTTGGTTAGAAGAGTAGGCTTTTTTTTTTTCTTTTTAATGAATGACTTTTTCTGTAGACTTTTGTAAAGATAAAAATCACATCCTCTCTCAATAGTGCTCGTGTGACTTTTAGGGGAAAAGGGCTTAATATGAATCTTGAGGCCACAGTTACATGTCAGTAGTACCGCATTTAATATAGTAACATAACGCACGTCGAGTCAAATGATCATATTACCGTATTTTCTTCCTTAACGCTTGTTTAGTGCGGAGCACGGTGAAAATGCTTTAAAAATAAAAAAAAGCTATCCCTTTCCTTAATACTTAACTTAGTTATGTGGTTTATTTTTATGCTTTGGGTGTTAACTGCGTTATAAGAAGATAGTGAAAGAGGAGGAGGGGAGTTTTAGAGGACTGATTTATAGGCCTGTGAATATCTGGCAGGAAAAAATATGCACGAAAACTTAGAACAGCAGAAATGGGGCAAAAGCCAAAAATATATGTACAGGATGGGGAAAGGAAGTGACAGACATGATAGAGGAGATGTGAGGACAAACAGGACTTTCAGAATTGATTTTCTATCTATAATGGCAGTAGTAAAACAGGCAGGTGAGACTGAGGTGGCTGGAGCTGAAGATGTATCACCAGAGGAAATCACTGTGCCTGCAACTGCCCGTGGTTGTCAGAGAAATTAAAAGGCACTACATAGAAAACGCATGAAAACAAAAAACAGTGTTCTTTGTCACAACGGGTATGTAGCCTGTGGAACTCATTGCCGTGTTCTTACAGACAGGTAATAGGACAGTAAAAGGGATTGAACCGTTATATTGTTAGCAGCTCTCATGGCGGGGAGGGTTTCTGCACACACGCATGTGCGTGTAGCTGGAAGGAAAGGGGGAGACTTTTAAAAGCAGAGATGAAGAATGCTTTCTGCAAGGGATATGAACTCCTGTGACTCAGGGCATAAACCAACTTCTCACGGATGTGTTTAGGAAACAAATTTCCCTGCAAGCGGGTCATTCTGTTACCATTTACCTGCAAGCCTTCGGGAACCTTCCTATGAATCATTTGGCTTTTTTTCCCCTTCTCCCCAGTGATGGAGTAAGGAGAATGCCTCCTTTGATCTAACTGGGGTTGGCAATTTGTCAAATCCTGTGGGCCTTTTCAAGAAAAGTTCAAGTTTTTGGTGACATAAATTGATCAAAGTTTTTCTCTGAAAAAATTCAGAATAAAGTGCTGCTGTAGTAAGCAACTTATTCAAATTTGGAGATCATGTTGTAACTTAATTTTTAGCTTTAGAGTTAAAAAACAGTGAAAGCATAGATTGCTTTCTGTTGTTTCAGTTACTTCATATAAATATTTATTTCTCAGTTTTCTAGTGTACAGGTTGAACTGAGGAAGTTAAATAAGATTTCGTTCCAAGTTTAGATTTTAAATGTTGTGCTGTCTCTGTAAAATGTGTAAGAAGCTGCATTAAATTTCCCTTCCTCCACTTTTAAATGCACTTCCTTTAAGAGCAGAAAAAAAATTGGCCAAGTCTATGTTATAGTGAGTAATTATGCCCCCTGGGAAATAGAATGTAAAGATCTTTAAAATCATTCGACTGAGAGAACGAGCACTTTAACTTTTGCCTCGCAGGAGTCATGTATTACATTATCAGCTGCTTGCTCCAGTGTCAGTGTGTCATGCCTTGCAGGTTAGCAGGCTTTGGCAGAGGAAATGAAACCCAGCCAGTTACTGCAGGATTTATAGTAGAGCTGCTAGTGCAGGAAGTGGTGAAAAGTTGATTGATAGTCTGAGGCAAAACTCTACAACAAGAAACAGGATGCATGTTTGCTATTTTATACCTGTGTCTCTACCCACCCCCTTCATTTCAGGGCACTCTCTTGCTTTTTGTTCTCTCTGTTTATAAATCTATCGTGCAGTTTTCTGGTAAAACGTGTGCTGGCCTCAGAATGTTTGAGGAAATGGATATGGCTGTAGCGAAGATGGGAAGCTGATCTAGCATGCCTGCTTTATTGTAGGGGTTTTACCTAAATGGTCCTGATACTTGCTTGTTAAATTATACAAACAAATGAAAGGCAAAGCACCTTCAGTTCAGTCTATTGAACATACGATAGCATGGGTGCACCAAGGTAGCTGTGAAAGGAGGAGGAAGTATCAGAGAAACAGGTAGCATAGTTTCAGAGTATTTTCTCTTAAACTTTCTACTGCAGGAAAGGTGAGTTCTGGGAGGCCTGGAATATGTACATGCAGTGTGTCAGTATCAAGTTTTTTTTGTCAGTATTGCCTTTTTTCATGTATTAGTAAATGCATATGACTCAAAATAACTCTGGAGTAAGCATGTGCTTTTTTTTTTTTTTTTTTTAAATCCTGAAGCATATATTTTTAGCAAACAAGCTAAAAAGTGTGTGTGATGGGGTGGATTTCATCTCTAGTAACCCTTAAAAAATGAGGCTTTTTAGACCCAGTGGAAAAGGGAGAAGGATGCTCAGGTTCTCCTGAGGAGATGAGCTTTGAAAAAGTGTTCAGAGTTAGAAGGAGAAGGGAAAACAGGAAGTAGACGGAAGATGGCAGACCAAAGCTATTGAATAAGATTTTTGAAAATGTTTGCTGGGCAAATTAATAGTTTTGTGGAACAAGCTGAAAGTGGAAGACAGTCACTGAAAGGAGTTGCACAGTGAAGAGGTCTAGTATAAACCTTTCAAACAGGAAAGCTGCTCTAATTTCGTATAGGAATTTTTGTGTTTTGTTTGAATTTGAAGGTTTTTCTTTCCTCTAAGAATTTAGTTCAACATAATGCAATTACTTTTGTGTACAAAATGAGCAGTACGTGGTTGAATACTAGCAAATGTTGAACCATGTTCCTGAAGTCTGTGAGCGCTCCTATTAGGAACGTGCTCTTTTGCTAAACCAGGGTATTCATCTACTGTTGTTTGTGTGTGTTACAGTAAGAATGTGGTAAGAGATAAAATCTGAAAATAGTTTGAAGGCATCAAATAACTCCCAAAGAATTAACGGCAAAAATTAAGCCTTTGAGTAATGAAAACAACCTACTGAGATGAATCTAATCAAATATGCTCTGTAGGTCACCTACACTTAATGCACATATTTGGAGGGATAGTGAAACAGAATGATCTTGCACCGTACGGAATTAATCCAACTAACCGAATACTGATGAACTTGCCATTAAAGAAGTCAACAGTTCTGAAAAGATTTGTTCTAAAATCGGTGTTCCCTTATTGTGGTGTTGAAACATCGAAGAAGCAGCATCTTTTCTGAAAATGTCACTGAGGACAAGGACTTTATGATATATTGTCTAGCCTTGTGGGAAAAGTTACCCAAAATAATGATAAATTTTTTTGATTTTTTTTTTCCCCTGTAGCATCCACTTTCAAAATCATAATTGAAGACGACAGTTGTTTGTAAACGAAGCAAATAACAAGAACACAAATCTTCAGCATTTTTATTATCGGATGGAAATGTTCTGTTTGTAAAGTTAAATCACATATTTTCTTCTTTGTTAAAGGTCAAAAAAGTTGGCTGTGCTCGCTGAATCCTTGAAGAAAGCCACACTCACCAAGTCCCACACAGGACTTGAACTGGAAGAGCTGGAAGCAGCAGCAGTGCTAGTACAAGAGGAAGAGAGCAAATTAAAAGATGCTGGCACGGTTTCTAAGCAACAGCTGCCTTCCTCTGAGTCGGAGACAAGTGACTCTGAAGAATCAAGCAGTACTTCATCATCTGAGACAGAAGGCTCTGATTCAGATGAGCGAGAGTCCTCAACCAGTGAAGATGGGAAAATAAATCCTTTACAAGGCACGCTTCAAGAGGAGAGGGCAGCTCCACTTATTGACTGTAATGGATTAAGGCAGGACACAAACACTTCGATGTTTGAGGTTAGTGATGAAAAATCAAAGGTTTCTTTGCAATCTACATCTGTTCCTGGCAAACTGATAGAAGAATTAGAAAAGCAAATGCACACTGCAATTAGACTTTCAGAGCAGGCTGAAGGATTGGCTACTGCAAGCTGCGTTGTTTCACAGCAACAAGAAAATTGTGCATCTGAACCTGACAGTTTTTCAAAAGATGCTATTGGGAAGGGAAACTTCTTGGAAGTGTCTTCAAAGAAAAACCCTTTGCTTTTTCTTTGCAGCACAAACGAAGATGAAGACTAAAAGACTGTGTTAGAACACACTGTGACCTGTTAGGCAACACAGCTCACTGCTATCCTGAGCTGCAGAAAAGTTGATATTTTTCTTCTTTGGATGTGTTGACTGTTTGGAGGACAAGACAGCTTTGAAGGAAATTGATAGGACTGTATAATACCTTCATAATTAGTCTTTTATTTTTCTTCACTCATACAGCAGAGAGATTTGATCTCTGCATGTGGGAATCTAACTGCAGTAAACTTCTAGAAACAGTTTTTATTAAGTTTATCAGGTGGTAAAATGATATCCCAATCAAATACAACTAAAATCATCATTTTGGACATCTTTAGGTTTATTTGAGATTTATTTGAAAAAATCCTTGTTATGTTTGTATAAACTTGTTCATGACATTTTGCTGCATTTTCTGATTTTTAAAATGCTATATAGCTAACCACTTCAAAAATAATAATGGTAACTTGAAAAACTTAAATATTGCTGTTACATTTTTAAGAATGTCTTCTGTTATACCAAATAAAGGGAATGAATTTATCATGTTAAGTGCAAGATAGAAGGGTTATAGCTTATTTCTGTAGTTCTTACGTAAAGTATTTCAAAAGTTTTGACATATGTATTTATTTTGTTGTGCTGTTTTTGAAATGTTTCCATACATATACACCACTGCTATTTAAAGAATGAAAGTCTTAATTATTTCTTTCTGCATATGCTGTTAATATCACCGAAGTGAAGAAATAGTATGGTACTAGATCTTGAGTACAGGACTAAAAGCAAAGCTCTTGTGCTGTCTAAACCTAGCTTTGCTGTTGCATTGCATAGCTTTGGCCAACTCATTTGCTTCTTTTTGCGTTAGTAATGTTAAATTTTGTGTTGATTTCTGTTAACTGAGGATGGATTCTTGAAATCAGATGGCCTCTGCACGTAATATAGTGCTATTCAGTCTCCTTAAAAAGGATTTTTAGAAGGGGTGGAGGCATGGAATACCAGGTTTGGTCCAACAGTCTCTGACCAAACAGGACTGTCAGATTCGTACCTCTGGAGAGGCAAGTCATGGTTACTTTTCAACCTTTCTATAATAACAAGTATTTAAAAAAAAAATCTTAGGCTTAGTCTTATTTTTCACCAATGCTACACGCTGCTGGAAATCAGCAGGCTAGCTCCTCCTGTTCAGTAAGAACTGCAACCCTGATCTGCCAGTATTTTTTTATGCTCTTAAATACCTACCAGTCGCTTAATCAGTCTCTGTGCTGTGTTCCCTAGGGGTGGAACCTTTCTCATCTTGCATGTCAGTGAGCACTTACTCTCCTAAATGCTAGCAATAAAATCTACACTGTAGGTGCAATTATGCAGCATATGTCTGAGAAAAGGATTTTTTTAAAAAGCAACCCCCTGTCTCACAAGTTTCAGGTGTGAACATTGGTGCTTTCTTTAACTGGGTGAGGGCTGAAGAAAGCTAAACTAAAGCTAATTCCTGGATTAGGAAATACGCATTGCAAAAATTGATAGGCATATGTAATATCCCTTATCTTCAGCTTTCTTTTTTTTTTTTTTTTTTGCCTTCTTCTCACTTTGTGGCAGACTATCAAGGAGAGCTGTTTGGTTTTTTTTCCAGCAGATCTGCTTGCTTTCAGGTTCTGGCTGCCTCTTCTAGAGTCAAGTCAATGTTTTTGATTAATCCTTTTGTTCTTTCCTTCTGAAGTCTAAATGCATGGTTTATTTATGCGAGATTTGAGCCTTTTCCGTCATGGCTATGTGAGCCCCATTTGGGTGTAAATACCCATCTATACAACGTAGCGCCACAGTAAATTCCATACGGGAACGTAGCGCGCAGATGTTAACTCACAGATAACTAGCTGTCACTGTAGTCACCTTTGAGGCCTTGCATAGTTGAGCTGTCTCCTCAAACGTGATAGCTCTGCAGTGTGCTGTCTTTCCTTCTGCCTCTGCTCCCTGCTGTTCCTCTCCATGTCCGCACCTGGGACAGGCTGTGATGTGTTGTACCCTAAGTCCCATTTTCGTGCACAGTTTTCTTCAGTTTTCATCCATTTTTGGCAGCCATCATTGCCCTTTTGCAAAACTCTGTTTCGTGGTAGTGGAGCTGATAATGTTTTTTGTTTGTTTGTTAAAGGCATCGCTAGCAATTTTATGAAGACTGTAGTGGTGGTATGGGAAGTTTTTCCATATTGGATGGTGAGTTTCCTGTGTGGCTGTGTTGTCCCATTCAAGTTAGAGGTAGTGGTTATTATGTGTCCAGAGTGCTGCTCCAAATGAGTGCCATCCTCGTGAATGAGAAGCCTTAAAGAGAACATAAAGGAGCACATTTACAAGAAAACTGGAGCACCTTAACTTTGTTTCTCCATAAAGGAGACTTGCTTAATCCATGAACTACAAACACTTGGAAAAAATACAAACAAACCCCCAAAAGCCTGAATCCTGTACCAGTAAGTAAGCTGCTGTGGGTCCTCCTAGAGGATGTGAACAGACTCCAGTAAGGAGTCAATTATCTAGAGCAGCCGTGTGGATGAATTTATAGGAGTTTGGTCCTAGCATGTCTTCCAGGCTGGAAATGGGTTAACAGATCTGAGGAGGTCAGTACATGGCTAGTCTGGTCTATTGGTTTTAAAGCTCCCTGTTTCAACTCCCCGTGTTCCCCCTGCCCCTTATTTATGGCATAAAGCGATACTTTGTTTTAAGGTAACTGTTGCTCATAACTGTAATCAGTCCTAAGGGAACAGACTTGCAGCATCTCGGCAGAAGTCCTGGGGAAAGTAACTTGTATTTAAATATGAGCTAAGCCTAAGTGGAAGAGCTGTGAGATTTTGCTGGAGGAGGAGAAAGTGGGTGGGTTATCTGAGGGGTGCAGGGTGCTCTGGGGAAGAGATCAAATTGAGTTATCGATGTGATTTGTCTATTTTTATCAGTGTGCTAACTCTATATTAATAAAGACCTAGACTGTCGAAATAAGGTGTCTTTGTCCCAGCCATCTGTCGTGTCGGTGGTGCAGAGCTCCCATAAAGCTGATTAAGATGGCCGTGGGAAGACTGTTTGGTTGGCCCTAACGCTTCTGCCACAGGAAACTGTCATTGGGACTTAGTCTTCTCTTGAACTTAGATAAGAATAGTAAGTCTAGTTCCCAACCCTGCATTTTCAGAGATGTTTGAGAGCTGTTAGTACAGAAAGCTGCTCTCTCTGGAAAAGTGAATGGCAGCAGCCTGAGCTGTTGCCTGAGGCTCTGCGGGTTCTCTGTTCTCTGTCCTTGCTGGTGCCTAGAGTGCCGATTCCTGCCAAGGATACGGAGAGAGGGGATCTGCAGGCCGTATTGGTGCTCTCAGTGGCGTGTGTGTCAGCCCTGCTGTTTTGAGCGGAGCTGCCTAAATGCAACTGAGAGCCAGAGTAAATTGGAATTGATGCTGGCAAATGTAGAGGAAAACAGAATCCAGTGCTCTTAAATCCTGACTACATGTCTTGGCAGGACCAAGGGGGCAAATGGTATCGGGGAGGTTTCCATTGAATCTGACAGTTGTGGTTCTGAAAGTATGAAGACACGCTTGTGCTAGGAGACGCTTATTTATTAGGTGCAGTAAGAATAAGGTTATATTTCTGCATTACAAGCAGCAAGTGAAATACTGGAAACGATCAGAACTCAGTATACAAGACTTTTTTTTTCCTTTAATGGGGACAGCACAGCCCACTGTATGTTGCTGCCTTTTCATCTCTTCTCTCCCCCAAAAAACTTGTGTGAAGCTGATTAAATAACTTTGTTTTCATTCCAGACAGCTTTCTGACAAGCTTATAAAGACTTAGTTCTACATCAACAGAAGAAAGCATCGATTAGACTTGATTTACTACAGAAAATGATAAATATCACAAAGACATTGATTCACATCACTGGAGTGAATGGGCCAGGCAACCCTCCACCATTGGCACAGCTGAATATTGTCAAAGCGTGAGCTGATTGTCTCAAGGCTGGAGAAAACAAACAGGGAAACACATGTCAAACAGATAAATAGCTTTGCTGTTTAGAGCTCTCTGTGGAGGCCATTTGTCTCCAAGATAAGGGGGAATGCACTCCAAAGCTGTGAAAAGATAAGCTAGGAGAATAAAACGAATAAGGAATTGTTATGGTTGTTTTCGGACATGTTACACATGGAGGAAATATGGTACCACCCTAGAGGAATGTCCAATGTGAGTATGGTACACCACCCAGGGAAGCATCTACAGTGAACTCATGTTTTTTTTATTAAATATTATAGTAGCATTTTATAATTAGTTATAACATACAAATGGCATCTGTGTCCGTCGTCTTAGTGAGACAGTAATTCTAAAATATTTTCTGTGTCTGTCATGGATCTATTTTTCTGCTTTTTAAAGGTGAGTGGGCTGCAGCCTGTGGTTTTGTGGGCATGTGCGAGTCATGATTTTGTATTGAAAAAATCAATTTGGGTCTGTAGTATTGTGGTACTCATAAATCATACTATTTTTATATTCTTATGTTTTGGAGAAGTGACAGTATTATCACCATGAATACTACATTTGGAGACCTGGCTTAGGTCATACCTGAAATGAGCATGATAACATTGGTTTGCATTTTATTAAACATTTTCTGATATTGAAAAGCCACAATACAATTCAGCATAGTTGATGGTATTTTGGAAGATTCTTGAGGACAAGAACAAAAGCTGTATGTCGTAGGTGAGGGCTACGTTGTTGGCAGAGCTCCATCAAGAAGGCCAGCTCTTACCTAACAGCCTGCTCTTTCTTTAAGAGAAGTTTCCTTTAGCCTGATAGTCTTGGTGCTTAGCATGGAAAAAAACAAGAAGTTTCATGTTTAAACTAGCAACATTAGCCAGGCAGTAACTTTATTGACTAATAACCCTAGGAGTCCTTTGGTGAGTTTGGGTCAAACCAATGCAGATGGCAATCTGTCAGCAACAGCTCCTCTGCTTTCTCCACAAGCTGCCCCCTCTGTTGCTGCTTTGAGAAGGTAGAGTACTTCTCTGGCCTGTGCCAGGGATAAGAGGAGGCAGTTCGGAGGCCATGGCCAAGTCGAGCTTCCCTGCGCCTGGTCTTGGCCCTGCCTCTGAAGGAGCCGGTTGGGGTTCTGCCTTGCAGCCTTGGCTGCAGTCTGCTGGTCAGGGCTGCCTGTGCCGCAGATGCGCCCTGCAGTCGCATCTCTCAGCTTGCTGAGGCTGTCATCAGATGCAGCAGAGAACCCTCTCACCAAAAAAAAAAAAAAGAGGGGAAAAAAAAAGGGAAAAAAGCTTTATAGTTTCGGCTGTTGGTTTCAGTGTGTATCTATGTATCTGTAAAATAGACCTCTTAATACCTTCTACCCAGGGGGGAATCTATGAGGCCCAGTTACCACTTGAACAATACTTTCACATTGTTTGGGGGGGGGGGGGGGGGGGGCAGGACGCAAGTGATGCCTGGGCATAACCTTGCTCTGAGTTAATAAACCAGGATAAAAACCCACTCCACATGTATGAGATCATTTCTACTACTGGAAGCACATCCCTAGTGTTTTCTCTTGGCAAGCAGATCACCTTCTTTGATCTGCTTGAAGAGCCCAGAAATTTAATGGCCTCTCTCATTCTCATCACTAATCTGGCTTGTTCTGCTCTTTCCTGCTCCTAATGCCACTTTCAGGCTCAGAACCCAAATTCTTTGGTGCTAAATTGCTCTTGTAAGTCTCATCTCTGAATACCGTTCACCTTGTTACCTCACCTGTTTATATGGCACTTGTCAGCAGCAGGCTAGCTGTTCATGCAGCTATCTTTTACTTCTGATGCTGCTATTCTGCTGCTCGGATGTGGTGAGACCACATCAGTGTGTGAGAATCCCTCCTGCCTTTCGTGAGCTGCGAGGGCTGAAGAAGGAGATGAGAAACTGCTGGGCAGGGAACACAGGTTAAGAAATGGTGTAAGGAGAAACTTCAGCGGCTGGCTTTGTCAGGAGGCATCAGCTGTGTGTTTTTGGTCTCTGTTGTGCAAGCTCTACCTTTCCATGTAAAACTGAGAGGGCTGTTGCTTGCAACAAGGATTTTGCAGCCTTGAGTTGTGCTTTCCAGTCTGAAGTCGGTAGTAAGGTATATGGCAGTAAACATCGAAGTGCCTAATTAAGGATGTGTGAGAAATTTGGGGGAATAACTCATAAGCACTAATGAGATGTTTAAGGCATAAATCAACTGCATATCAAGATGAGAACAAACTTCTTTCAGCCGTACTCCAAATAGTCCAGGTAGTGACCTGGTCCAGCACCCTACCTGCCAGCGTTGTGATTAGTTTTTTTGTCTTGTGTCTGCAATTTTTGGCAATTACGCAGAAATGTAAATAAACTGGGATTTGTGTTTTGCCTGATGTAATCCCTCCCACTCTAATCTGCTGCATTGTCCATTGATTTGCCTAATTATGTGTGTTATCACGGCATAAGGGGCTCGGTAGCAGCAGGGGTCTGCACTGTGAAAAGGAGGAGAGTGATTGTTCCATCTGTTCCTCTGAGCAGAAGGGAGAAGCGCTGGGGACTAAAGTGGGAGAAGGAGGGAAGGAATTACCATTTAGTGCAGGTGCCTCTGGAAGGGGAATCCCACTGCCAGGTGCTGACAGACAGCTCTCCTGAGCTCCTCTGTGTGCTTAATTACAGTATGTTGAGACTTCTCCTTTAGAACTAGAATAGGCAATTGCAACTGAAGTTTTGAAACAAAACGCGGACTGTAGTAGCGCTGAACCCCTTTCACTGTAGAGGCCTGCGCTTCTCCTTCAGCAAGATTCATGCCCAAGGGACAGCTGAATTTAGAAACAGTTACCTGGCATTAGGTGATGAATTTTAAAATCATAATGTCAAAGTGGAAGAACAGACCAGAAGGTCAAAGTATCAGAGCCTGGGAATCTGTGGTTCAGTTACGATATTCTAAAAAAGAAATATGTACTGTGGGTGCTGACTTAAGAAGATGTTCCTAGGACTGCCTGAGCACTGGCGGAGCAGGGAGCAATAGGCAGAGCGTGGGGCTGAGTCATCACTGCCTTTGTTTGCTGTCCTGGGCAAGTAGTTTGATACCTGTGCAGTTGCATCCACCCTTTCATACTCACAGGATCGCTGATGGGTCAACAGCAGCAGCAGGATAGCATGTTGCGCTTTCCTCCTGATTTCTGCTAGGCTGCTAACAACTGGAAGTAAGTGATTCATCAAACCAGTTTTTGTTAGTCTGACTGGAAGAGATTTGAGTCTCTTCCTGAGAAACAGGAAAACACCCAGTATGTGTTGTAGGTCATTGCAATGAGTAATATACAGGGACTGTAACGTATGAGGAATAATGTACTTGGAAGGGGGAGAGGCTGTAAAAGTTAAAGCCACAGTGTGTATCCTCTTGTATTTTAAATTGTTCTTAATACCTTTAGTGTGCTTCTCCACCTTGGAACAGTGCTGTAGGGACTTAAAAACAATGTATCTTCAGGGGATTTCACTCTATCCACAGATACATATGCTAACTTTGCTGTAACTGGCAGATTACTAAGGAGTCTTATTCCTGTAATGAATGTAAAAGTTAAAAATGTATACGAAATGGTCCTGTAATCAAGTGTGCAATAGGAAGCTGGGTTTCTCTGGGCCATCCGTAGCCTTCCCATAGTGCTTTATACCTATCCTGAGCGACCAGTCTGTGTTTGTGTCAAGTCCCTACCGTTAGCGGAAACAAGTGACTTGATGTTGCATCTCCATGCAAGATGTTGCTACACTTAGCAGGCTTTTCTTCCTAGCTCTGCAGTATGTATACTCGTTAGGCTTGCAAAGCACCTTTGTGTCTGCTGGATTTTGGGAAAAAGCAAAGGCTTGGGAAGTTCTAAGGTCCAGAAAGAGCAGTGTTAGCATATCTGAGGAAAGTGTGACTCTCGGTGGGAAGGATCACAGCTTCATCCTCGACGA